CCCCTTAAATAAATAACACTTCTATTATTCATAATTCTGAAGTGGTGTTGGATTGTTTTGTGACTTATGTCATCACTCTTCTGGCCTTGGAGGGCACCTGAACACAGACACACACACACACACACACACACACACATAAAAAATAAAAAACAAAAACCAGCCTGACATGGTGGCATGGGCCTTTAATCTCAATACTCGGGAGTCAGAGACAAGTAGATCTCTGTGACTCTGAGGCTAGCCTCATCTATGAGTTTCAGGCCAGCCAGGACTACAAGCAAGAACTATCTCAATACTAAATAAATAATAAATAAATAAATGGGGTGGTGAGAGAAGATACTATGCTTCCATGCTTCGAAGAGAGTGATGTAAAATGGGAAGACCCTGGGAATGGAGGTGTGTTTGTGTGCTTGTGTGCATGTATGTTTGAAGCAAGAGATTTTTGAGTATATTTGTTTTAAAGGAATACTAATCTCAACATATGTTTGAATCCTAGTCACATAAATTATTAGTTTTGACCTTAGGCATATTATTTAACTCTTTTCTCCCTCAATTTCCTCACTTGAGAAAATGAAGCTTATCATGATATTTGTAGGAAAACAGACCAATCTGGAAATCACATGTTAAGGGCATAGATCAGATTCAGCAAGGAAAATGTCACATTTTCTTCATAAGTGGAGTCTAGATTTAAAATCACATATGTATGTGTATCACAAAAGGGAAAACGAGGTTTGATCCTAGCAACCCATGTGATAGATGTGTGAGGACTAAATACATGGAAAGCACATGAATCCATGTCAGACACATCAGAAATACTAAATAAGTGCTTGCCATTGCTGTTACCACTTTTTCTTAAAGACCTTTAGAGGAGAGGCAGGTGATTTGGCAGCAGTGTGGGACAGAAGGAGGGGTCTCCAGAGCTTATGGATTGACTTGGCACCTCAGGCAGGAGGACGGACATTTTCTCCTGAGGCCAATGAAACAGGCTAAGGAAGGTTACAGATGCAGATGGATTGGACTTTGAAGGGTGGACACAGCGCAGGAGTCTGTGACTGGCTTTCATATTATCTGAATAGCTGAAATTGTTGGGGAGCAGGTCTCTGTACCACAGAAGCCCGTGAGTTTCCATGACACCTAGTTGGTCTTCTGCCCACCCCCCAATAGGTTTCTCTGCCAACGCAGTTAAGACTGATCAAGCCGAAACAACAAGTTTGAGCAAAGCAACTCCTGGGTGGGTTCTCCAGCTCCAGAGACCAAGGACGGAGTGTAAAACCCAGATCCCGAGTCCCACAAAGACCACCAAGGAGTCTGAATCTGTAAGCAAAAGCAAAGAGCCTTTATTTCCAGCTCAAACTTGGTCTCTCTCTGATGCAGTGGTGAGGGCAGAGAGAGCCAAGGGGTAGGGCTTTTTTTTTTTTAAATCATAGTAGAGGTTCGGAATGAGGGGATTTCCAAGGTTCAGGATCCTGATTGACTGACATTTCTCTTGAGGTATCTTGGCAAAAGAGGAATAGGTGTGTGCTGGGCTCAGGGACATCTTACAATCTTATCTAATGGCTGGAGCGTCAGGGACTTCCCTTTAGATGCTGGCCACCCTTGGATGGTGTCAGTTTATGGCTTTTCCTGGGACCAGGTGCTGCCTGACAGTAAACTGAAATTGGGGCCTACTTTTCAGCTGATTTTTTATTAAGTCTGTCATGGCAGCAGTGTGGCCAAGCAGTTCTGTGCCCCACACGGAGAAGGTGCACGTCTGAACTAAAGCAGGGAGATTATATAGGTTGTAGGCAAGGGGTGATGATGTATCCACAATAAGCTGGGTTTACGTCCAGGTATGATCAAAAGTGAATGCTCAGGAGGGGACTAAGGCTGCTGGAGGCAACTGGGGAGGAAGGTGCAATAGTTGTCAAGAATTCGGAATTGGGCTTTGTGGTGTCTTTTCTTTGTTGGAGATTCTCTGAGAGGGCAGGGTTTGGAGAGAGAGACAGGAAGAAGGGTTTTTGGATCATGTAGGAGCAACCTGGAGCTTCCAACTGAACAACACCCTCTTCTTAGCACTGATTTTCAACAGTTGCTTAGCATACTACAGGGCAAAGAATAAAAAATCAAGTTATCTTGCTTGAAGATGTCAGGTAGTTCTAAACCCAGAAAAGTTTCCCCGACTTCAAAAAGAAATCACGGTGCTGGAGAGATGGCTCAGCAGCTAAGAGCACTGGCTGCTCCTCTGGAGGACCTGAATTCAATTGCCAGCACCCATGGTGGCTCACAATTGTTTGTGACTCTGAAAGACCTGGATAAATCCAGACCCCCCCCCAGCAGAATAAATAGAGCCAAAAATCTAAACAGAGAGAGAGAGAGAGAGAGAGAGAGAGAGAGAGAGAGGAATCAGAAATCTAGATTAGCCGGTTCAGTGACTGTGTTTCAGGAACTAGCTGAAGATAAAGTTAGATTATAATCTTGAGAATAATCTTGAGAAACAGGGAGTTACCCCCTTGTGATTATCACTGGTATTTTCAGAGTTTTCAATGATCACTGGTATTTTCAGAATTTCCCAATGACCCCATCCCTACCCCCTTTGAATTACTGGGTTGTGGTTTCTTCCCTTAAATACCCCTTCTCCCAGCTACTCATCGTTAAACTCCTCCTCTGCGTGGGTTATGAGTCTTGGCCCCAGCACTGGTACTATAAGACTTTAAGACAATCCTGAGCCATTTTTGACAATTCTGAATCCTCTCAGCCTCTGTGCCATAGTGCTTCCCCTCCTCCCCTGGGAAGCAAGGACCTAACAGCTACACTCGCACATACTCAGTTCCTGAACAATTACCCATATACGTACGCTTTGGTTCGGTCCCCTGGGAAACGGGGTCACAATGACCTCTTACCTCATCTGATCTGGCAACAGCTCTCCAGTCAATTATTGGTAATAGCCCTTTCAAATAAGCCAATCAGAATAGTCAAAGAACAACCCCCCTTGCTTCTGTGGCCCCTTTAAAAGTAGACTGTACCCGCTATTCGAGGTCCCTCAGCTTCCCGAATGCTGGGGGACCCTGTCATGACAGAGTTAATAAAATCCTCATGCTTTTGCATTGGCTGTGGTGTGTGAGATGGTCTCTGGGGGCGACTCTTTCTCGGTGTTTGGACGCTAGAATCCAACACAAGGCCACCCTGAGCAACACAAGATCCACGCAGAAACAGATCCAGGTGATGGTGGTTCACACCTTTAATCTCAGCACTAGCGAGGAGTATAAACCAGGATGAGACAGGAAGTTCTCTTTCAGTCTGAGGGTTTCTTAGAGGTAAGAACTCTCTAGTGGCTTGGCTGCTTTGCTTTTCTGATTTTCAGGTTGAACCCCAATGTCTGTCTCTGGGTTTTTAGCAATCGTGCTACAATCCAGTCCCCAGAAAATCCCTGATCTGTAGCCTCTACACAAATCCTGAATGGCTTGGCTCCAAACTCCAAGCCAGCAAAAGAAACACACCCAGAAAATGGGACCAGAGCCAGGGGAAGAGACACTTTGTCTCCGAACCAAGAGTCTGAGAAAAGTCCCCAGACCCTGAAACCAGGACCAAAAGAATGTACTAAGTCACTAGATTCAGAGCCCACCAAAGATATTTGCCCTGATCCCCAAATTAAGGTCAAAAAGGTAAAAGGAAGTAAAGAAAGAAACACAGTTTGGTCTCAGAATTGGAGCCATCTCTACCCCTGACAAAACTAGCCAATCCCTGAGCAGGGAAAACTGACCAATCCCTGAGCCCCTAAAGGCTTGACATTTTCCTCAGGCCTGAAAAGCCCCTTACATCATAGGGGTCAGCCAATCCCAAGCCGGAAGTCTGGAATTCCTCCTCACCCCACTAGGTGGCAGCCAACCACAAGCCCAGAGGCTTGGAATTCCCCAAGACTCTTCCCCTATATAAACCCCTTTGTTCACCTCAGGATCCCTCGCCTACACTATTCTTGTTTATTTTCGGGTGTTGCCTCTTGCTGCTTCTGATGGTTGGAGGAACCCAAGTGAACTCACAATAAAGACTCTTGCTTCTTGCATTGAAGTTGGTCTGGTGGTAGTGATTCCGATTCTGAATTTCCGACATAACAAGACCAGATCCGATGCAAAAGCAAAGAGTCTTTAATTATGAAGTTTGAACCCAGGCCTCTAGTCTGTCCAATGCATCGGTGGAGCAGGAGAGACCCCGGCTGCAGTGGGGTGGGGGTATTTATGGAAACTGTCAGCTGCAGAAAGGTTGCTATACCTGGAGGCCATCCCACCGTTATCAGTAAAATCACGGCCAGAGGCTGCCAGCCAGCTTCTGATGGGTTCCTTACCATAAGTGGGTTCTCTGGCAGCTTCTTCCAGTAATTAGGACAAGGTCAGGGGCTCAGCACAGCCTCCCTAGTCAGGAGCCTGCATCTTGCTGGGTCTTTTTTTGAAGCCTGTTATGACTGCTAAGGGTCGGGAGTAGGGATGTGGGGGGGTGGGTTGGGGGATGAAGATTTGGTCCTTCAGTAGGAATCTGAAGTGAGAGATCTAGTTTCTATAACCTGTCCTCTGACCTCCACATGTGGGTGGCAAAAACATACAGTTTTTTTTTAAAGTAAAATTTCTAAATATCTAATTTTCATTCTCAGCTCCAACATTTCTACATATTTCTAGTTATTTTTAAGGTCACATAAATCTTCAACAAAACATCCTACCTAATGCATGTTCAGAGCAGTGTTTTAGTTTGGGTAGATTTGCCTTCAAAACAGGCACACATTTTAGGGTTTGGGCTAACATCTGTTCTTCCGAAGGCCTGATACTTCCTATAGAACCTTCTCAGCCATTCCTCTGGAAGGTCCCTTCTCTTTGGCATCTGTCAAACCTGGAAGCCCAAGCAGAGCAAGGCGGATTGCACGAACGAACGCGGGAGTTCTGACCCTAGTGCCGCCCCGTAGTCAGCGTGGGATCTTTGAAAGTGCGCGCGTCCTGAAGGCGGCGGCGGTTACTGGAGCCCCAGTAACTGTTCCTGCACTTCCCGGAGCCGCTGTCCCGACAGCTTTGAGCCAGCTGGCGCGTTCTGCCCTGGTGCCAGCCGGCGCGGCGCGACCTTTGAAAACGCCTGAACGCTGCGGCGGTTAGAGCGAGTTCCTGCACCTCCCGGACTAGGTGGGTGTGGCTGTGGTAAGGGAAAGCGTGGTGGACTCGAGGGAGGACAGCGGACGGGAGGAAGACAGTCGCGAGGGGAGGACCCAGGACCCAGAGGACAGCGGCCGAGGAGCTCTGCCGGGAAGGACAGCTGGTAGCGGGTACGCAGTGGGCGGCCGGGGGAGGATCGAGGGAGGACCCAGGGGAAGACAGCGGACAGAGAATTGGGAACCCCCTTGGAACCGTCGCGCAGAGTCTGACCCTGAGCTCCTGGGTCGCGGGGAGTTTGGGGGTTCAGGGAGGAAATCACCGCTTTCTCCATAGAGGACGGGGAAGGACCTCTCAGCGAATGCTTCTGATTTTTAAGCTAAGGCCACAGTAGAAAGGGTAGGGATGTGACCAGGGGCAGTAACCCATTGGGTACAGTCCGTGCCCAGCGTGCATGCAGCCCTGGGTTCCTTCCTCAGGACCAAAAGAGTGCCTGTGGCCCCAGCACTAGGGAGTGGAGACTGAAGACAGGACAGGAATTTGGCTGTGAATTGTTTCCTACACGGGGGAATATTGATTTTTTTTGGAAAATATATTTACATACATACTTGAAAATTCATAGTGGAACCCATAACCTTGTAGAGTTAGCATATCCTAATAAAAGAATACTTTTGAAAAGTCAAGTACTGTTAAAACAATATTATAAAGTTATGGGCAGGAGCGCTGGAGAGTTGATTCAGTAATTAGAGCCCGCACTGCTCTTGGGGGACAGGGCTGACCTGGTTCCCAACACCAGTGAGGAGTGACCCAACAGGTTCCTGTAATTCCATCCTTCACCTCAGGCACCTGTATTGCTGTGCATATACCACCCAACCCCTTGCCACACACAGCTACATAATGAAAAATGAAATGTCAAAAGCAGTTATCAGATTAACCAAGCATGGTGTACGCTTGTGATCTCAGTCCCTTCGGAACTGAAGCAAGAGGGTGTAACATTGGGTATTAGCTGGGTGTACACAGGCTGCTCAAGGCCCGTTAAGCTTGGGTGAAACCCAGATTCAACAGAACAAAACATGACCAGGGCTTAGCAAGTAGATCCACCAGCTCTGTCAGATGTGCCCTTTGAATCCTAAGCCTCAAGGTGACGTGGTTTAAAGTTAATATAGTTACTTAACAGTGAACATCTATGGAAAGTATATGCAGACCTAAGGCAGTACATAGACAAAGGCTCAAACTCAGTCAGGAAGGAAAAATACCATCAGACAACCAGAATGGGTGGGACATAGCATATTTTGATATAAATAGTGTTAAGTGGAAGGTAAGGTAGTTTTGAGTGTTCAGAATGTAAGGGACTATTGGGCCTGGAGAGATGGCTCAGCAGTTAAGAGCTGGCTGCTCTTCCAGAGGACCTGAGTTCAATTCCCAGCAACCGCATGGTAGTTCACAACCGTCTGTAATGAAGTCTGGTGTACACTGTATACATAAGTAAATAAATCTTTAAAAAGAATGTAAGAGAATGTTGGAACATTTAGATCTTGGTATTTTAATCTTTTTTGTTTGTTCAGTTTGTTTTCTTGAGAGAGGGTTTCTTTCTATGCTTATCTTTGGAACCTGTGCTGGAACTCCCTCTGCAGCCCAGGCTGGCCTTGAACTCACAGGGATCTGCCTGCCTCTGCCTCGGAGCGCTGGGATTAAAGGCGTGCACCACCACCACCCGGCTGGTGTTTTAATCTTTTAAAAACATGATGCGTCTTTGTATCCAGTCTTCAAGCTGCAGGAACATGGACATTGATATTCTCCAGGTCACTCTTTGCCAAGAAATTTGCACATGGCTTGTATTCTACAGACTGATTTGTTCCCTCCCTTTCCTGAACTGGGTGCTGAGGGTTGCACCCATTCTCATCTAGGAAATCAGTGATGCCCAATCTCTGTTGATAAGCCCACAAAAATCACGTCTTCAGCTTTGTTCAAGATCTATATTTGGCTACCTGTTTGACCTTTCCTCCAAGATTCAATAAAGCCTTCACAAATGAGCTCCCAATATCCCATACCCTCTTTTTTTTTCATTTGTTCAATCTAGAAAGCCTCCCACTCCCACCCCACCCCCCATTTTTTAAACTTTTTTTTTTTTCCATAGCCACAGTTAAGTTGCCGGGAAATCATGACATTTTTCTGGACAGCTTTAGACATGCGCCATCAATGGAAGCCTATGCGTGGCCTTCTATATCTGGTTTTATTCACTTAGCATGTTTTCTTGGTTCATTTGTGTTGTACATGGCAATACTTCGTTCCTTTGTATGCGGATGCCACACTGTGCTCTGCACTCAACACGTAAGGAGTACTTCTCTTGTGTGTCTGGACTGTTGGGAGTGTTGCTGTTTGGATGCAGTTTTCTACTTTTGTTTTGTTTGAGGCAGGGTCTCACTGTTGCCCAAGCTGGTTTTAGCCTCCAAGTGCTGGTATTAGAGGTACACATATAGGCTTGTCTTAAAGGAAAACGAGACCTGTTTGTAACCTCCTGAGAAGTGTGAGGGAAACATACTGCTTACCTTATGTTTTGGCACTGGGAATGGAACTCATGGCCATGTGCATGCTAGGCTAACACTCTCCCTCTGCGCTGCATTCCCAGCTCTTATTTATTTTTTTGAACTAGGTATTTTTTAATTTAAGTTTGTATTTTTAAAGTTTTTCTTTTTTTTTTTTTAAGCCAGGTGGTGGTGTCACACACCTTTAATCCCAGCACTCAGGAGGCAGAGACAGGCAGATCTCTGTGAGTTAGAAGTCAGCCTGGTCTACAGAGCAAGTTTCAGGACAGCTAGGACTACAAAGAGAAACCCTATCTTGAAAAACCATATACATATATATGTAAATAAGTGTAATTAATTTTTTATATAAAATGTTATATACACACACACACACATATATATACACACACACACATATGTTGAATACATATGTTGAATATGTGTGTGGGCAGGTGTGTGCCACAGTGTGTGTGGAGGTCAGAAGACATCTTGTGGGAATTGGTTTTCTGTACTATATGGGTTTCAGGAATCGAACTCAAGTTGGCCGGCTTGGCAGCAAGTGCCTTTTCCTTCTGAGCTTTATCTCTGGCCTCTAAGTATACATTTTATAGTTAAAACCACAACCCCTAGTCACTGGTAGTATGAGTATTACATGAGTAAGTAATTGTATCTCTGGGTTTCAATTTTACCATTGTAAATAAAATTGGATGAAGTATTTGCTGAGGTTATTTTCAGTTCTCAAATTGTATATTTCCATGATAAAGTGATGTTATGGGATTCTTCTGAGTGTTGTTCTTTATAGCTGCTTAATAACTTAGCTTGTTTTCATTATAGGACCTAAAGTGATTGCTACAATGGAAGGAATTAATGATTTCAAGACACCAAACAAATTGTCTGAAAAAAGGAAATCTGGTAAGATTGCAGAAGTAAGACCTTTTCTTGTTGCTGTTTCTACTAGAAAAGTTTTAGTGTTTGCTCCTTGACATTGTCTGTGAACAGTCATGGCATTGGTTATTATAACCACACTAACCATAACGGAGCTTCTAATAGTGTGGGCTAGACTTTCTGTCGATGGCGTGGTCATTCTTGATTTTAGGTTCTTTCTGGTAATGGCCTTCTGACTTGAACCAGACGTTAGCAGGCATCAGTTCTCCCCTTCCAGGAGGAGATTCCTAGGATTCCTCCAGGAGTCAAACATTGATTGCATAGCAAGCATTTTCACCTGTTGATGCCTCTTAAAGATTGTTTAGGATATTTTTTGTTTGTTTATATTTTTCCAGACAGGGTTTATCTGTGTAGTCCTGACTGTCCTGGAACTGCTCTGTAGATCAGGCTGGCCCTGAACTTAGAGATCCTTCTGCCTCTGCCTTTTGAGTGTTGAGATCAAACCACCACCTGGCTTGTTTAGGATATTTTTTTTTTCTATGCTGTTTTATTGTATGTTACAACCAGTGTATATAAAATAGTTAAACCTCGTGAAGCAGAAATCTACGAAAGCTCAGAGAGGTGGACGTTACGGACTGGCAAGTACAGACTGTAGTGTGGCACATGCTAGAGGAGCTTCTGTACAGACTTGAGATCTAGTTCTCTCGAATACCTACGGGTTTATGAGAAGTGGTTTGAGAAACCTCAAGATGTATGATGACAAAAATGAGCAGACTTCCTGGGGTCTGAAGGGATTTGTACTTGAAGACATTCCAGTCAGCAGAGGGTCATGTTTAGGGTATCTTAAATAGTTGGTCATGTATAGAGTAATAGAGATTTTAGCAATTTTTTTCCACTGCGATCTCTCTAACTTTAAACATCACCCTGTTAAACTGGGTCAGCACGCTTTTGAATAGAGGTGCTAGTAGGAATATTTGTGTGGTTCCCAATGCAGGTTAGATGTGGTTTTTCACAGATGCATTTGTCAGACTCCAGCTCCACTCTTGCCTCTGAGTTCTGAGATTATAGCTTGTGCTCCCACCCGCAGCCCATGAGGATCTTTAAGAACATCTCTTTATCCCTCGGTGTGCCCAGACTATCCTTTACATCAGTGAGCCTCTTTCTGAGATGTGTATCTGTTTTATGATGTTCTTCCATCCTTGTCAATAAGTGGTATGTTTTGATTGGTTTATTTTTCTCCTGGCATGAACCCTGGTTTTTGCTTCTTTTATACCTGGTAATTTTTGGTTAGGTTGGTAGATGTTTTATGTAATTGAGTGCTGGATTTTGTCACTCTACAGTGTGTTTGGTTTCATGAAGTTCCAAAGCTTATTTGGCTAAATGATTGTGCCTTTTGAGGCTGGCCTTTAAGCTTTCTTTTTTTTTTTTAAATTTATTTATTTATTAAAGATTTCTGCCTCCTCCCCGCCACTGCCTCCCATTTCCCTCCCCCTTCCCCGATCAAGTCCTCCTCCCTCATCAGCCCGAAGAGCAATCTTTCTTACAGACTTTGCTTGGGCTAAAAGTTAGCGGTAGTATTGAATAGTTACCCTTTAGGGGGCTTTATGTAGCAGTCAGCTACAGTGCCACCTGATCTGGCTGATGATGATAAAGTGATCTTACTCCTAGACTTCCATTGCTTTCCTGGCTCTGGGGAATACTACCCAATAGGTGTGCAGCTAAGTATTAGCCAAGCACTTTATTGGAAATCTTTTGTGTTGTTCATTGTCTTTTAGTTCCCTCCTGTGTTCTGCTCCACAGCTACCTAGCCCTCCTTGACCTCTGCTCTCTGTCTCTGTGGTTTGACAGTATTGTGCTGTTTCCTCTGCTTAAGCCTGGGACTGCCTTTGAGGGCATGGGGTGATGATAGGGCTTACTTCATCAATTCGCCTTTGTTCAGAGGTTGCAGCTCTGCTCTGCCTCTTGCCATGCATCTGAGAACTATTTTGTCAGGTGTTGCTGTTCACAGAGAGAGCAGCTCCAAGAGCAGCTTATTCCTGACCAGAAGCAGAATTGCCTCATCCTTGTAATAAGTATAGAATGCTCTGAATTAGATTTGTTTCGTTTTTGTTTTTGCAGATGCCAAAGCATATTCAAAGATATGTGTCAATGGTGTGTGTGTGTGTCTCCTTAGGCACATGTCACGGGATCAGGAAACTATGTAAAAGGCCAGGTTGTACATAGTTCCAGGAGTGTTCACCTGTGGCACACAGGTCATATGTACCCCAGGACAGCTATGCGTGTGTCCCAGCACAGCATCATAAAAGTACTTAAAACATTACAAAGTTTTCTTGCAATTTTCTATTTTTGTGTTTGTGCATAGAGTGCTGTTTTTGAGCATGATCTTTGTAGATGATGTGTCACAATGTCACAAAGTTGACCTTCCTAGTGGACCCTGAGGACCACATTGGGATTTGCTCATGCTTGCTTGTTTGATTTCCTTCTTTATTATCTCTTTAAGATATATTTTTATGAGTGTGTGTGTGTGTGTGTGTATGTGTGTGCGCGCGCGCTTGCCACATGCTTGTGGTTACCCTTGGAGGCCAGAAGAAGGCATTGGATTCTCTAGAAGTTGGAGTTACAGATGGTTGTAAGCTGTGTGATGTGTGTGCTGGAAATTAAACTCTGGTCCCCTGTAAGAGCAGCAAGTGCTCTTGACCACTGGGCCATCTTACCAGCCTCTATATTCGTTATTTTTAAATAGCCCTTTAAGAATGTACTAAAAGGACCAGGCAGTGGTGCAAACATGTTTAAGCCCTGCACTCAGGAGACAAAAGCAGGCAGATCTCTGTGAGTTTGAGGCCAGCCTGGTTTACAGAGCAAGTTCCAGGACAGACAAGGCTACACAGAGGAAATCCTATCTTGAAAAAAAAAAATTAAAAAAGGACCAGTGGGATGGCTCAACAGGTTGACCTAAGTGTAATTAAGTATAGTTTGTCCAAACAGAACCAAGTTCAAAAGCTGTCCTCTGACTCCCATGTGTGTGTCATGGCAGTCACATCTGCACACACACACACAGAGTAATAATTAAATAGATTTTTAAAATTAGCTTGTATGCCCCCAAACAGGCCATTTACATTAGTTACTGTGAGTTACAGACATAGTCTTGGTCAAAGGGTACTCATGTACTCTGTAAAAAAAAAATGATGCTATCACTAATCTTACCACAGTGTTTTCAGACTGTCAAGATACTTTTGTACTGCTGCTGTTTTCAAGTGCTAAGTGCTGGCTTTTGTTTTTGATTTGTAGTATTATGTTCGACTCCATATGTAAATATCCCTGCCTCTCCATTCATGCAGAAGCTCGGCTTCGGGACTGGGGTCAACGTTTACCTAATGAAAAGGTGAGTGCAGGATTTCCAGCTTGTGGGACTTAGGTCCATGTGCTTGCGGTGGGCAAGTTCCTCCCCACACCTGAACCCTACATTCCAGTTCTCAGAACCCTACAGCTGCGGGAGCTCTGCCCCAGCATTTCACCCCCGCAATCCTCCTGGCAGGTTATTAGGGGGAAGTAGCTTAGCCCTTTGCTGGCTTCGCTAAGATGACCATGAAGTGGTGGAAAGATCCTAGAACATGGCTTTGAATGTGGTGTAGGAGAATCGCTGTTGTTTGTGGGGAGTTGAAATAGTGAAGAAGAGCATGTCACGGATGGGGGACGTTTGGCAGTTTAATGACTATAGGGAAGGGATGTAGCCCCTAAGGAGTTACCCTCGCCCCAGGAGATGGCCTTGTACCCATGCACTAAGTGGACTCAGCAGGCCTAGTGAATAAAGAGCAACGAGGATTAGAGGGGAGGGGACAGAAAGTATATTTGATCAGAAAATATGTATATGAAATTTCAAATAATAAAGGAGAGCATACCATTATATATAGACTCTTTTTGAGTATCTCCTTAAATTTCTTTAATATTAATTATAGAATCTTGTAACTCATATAGATAAAGTGTTTGATAAAATAGTAGACTGACATGCCAGGATAGAAATGTTAGAACATTTTTCTAAAATTCTAACAAAAAAAGCAGTTTTTGTTTAATTGTACTTTTATAAATTCATAACATTCCATGTTTATCTTTAATCTCTTTAATACCTTCTCAGAGCTGAGATGTCAGGTGCTGTTCAGTGCATCAAGACTCACTGACTTAGTCCAAACAGAAATGTAGCAGGTGTTGGTGATCTAAAGAATTTTATGTATTTTTAAATACATATATTTCTCTGGAGTCAGTTTGGGGACTTTTAAAATTCATTGTGTACCTTTTTACATTTACATGTGTATATTTTAGATCTCCAAGAGGATTGTCTCATTCTCCTTGGGCTGTGAAAAAGATCAATCCTATCTGTAATGATCATTACCGAAGTGTGTATCAGAAGAGACTGACTGATGAAGCTAAGATTTTAAAAAACCTTCATCATCCAAACATCATAGGTAAGTGCAGGCTGACTTGATGCTGGTATGCGGTAGAGCAATGTTCTGTAGTTCTAGAAACGGTATAGCTGCACTCTGAAGTGGTTATGCTAGTAAAGAAAGTTATGTGGATTGTCTAAAGTGGGTGGAGAGACGAGACGCAGCAGTGGTAGGAGGACTTGTCGCCCTTGCAGAAGACTCGGGTTCAGGGTTCAGTTGTTGGCAAACGCATGGGGCTCACAACTGTCCACGGGGGATCCACTGTCTTGACTTTCCCTGTACCAGGCACACACGTGATGCACATTTATTCACACACATAAATCTAAGAACATCATTTAAGATCCACATATTTTAGATCTTTAAGTGCTTGTTTCTCTCTAACCGTCATGGAGTTGAGGTGTAGTCATCTGGTTCAGGTGCTGTGAGGATTTCAGGACATTTGCATTTATTAAATGGGTTCTTACATTGTCTTCACTTTGCATTTTTGGTACTAATGGGGATGGTGGGATCATTCTATTTATGAAAGCATATTAAAACTGTGGTGATCTGTGGTGCTGGACACGCTTGAAGGCATTGAAATTATAGCTGTGGGTTAATTTTGTAAATGATAGCTGTCTCGTTTTGTTAGTTGAGGTCCAAGTTACATTGCCGAAGAAGCCCTGGTTTCCAGACTAATAGAAGAATGTCACATTTTCTTAAGGGTATCGTGCCTTTACTGAAGCCAGTGATGGCAGTCTGTGCCTCGCTATGGAGTATGGAGGCGAGAAGTCTCTGAACGACTTAATAGAAGAGCGCAACAAAGACAGCGGGCGCCCCTTTCCAGCCGCTGTCATTCTCAAAGTTGCTCTGCACATGGCAAGAGGCCTAAAGGTAACTGTGCTGTTATATTTCAAATAGCTTTGGAGAACTTTAACATGGCTTATACCTATGCGGCTGTGTTTTTGGATAGATACAACATAAGGAAGGGAAGAAATGTATATACTAACTAAACACTAGTAATAGTGACTTTAGGAAACTACTGGTGACTCACAGTGTAATGATGAGAGTGATGCCAGGGTGACATGCTAAAGTTTCATATGAAATTGGTTTATGGAGCAGATTGGGAAAAATACATTCAGTATTTTTCATTCAGTGAATACATTCAGTAAATACATTCAGTACAATTCAGTACACTTATAGATAACTTTAAGTAGGACAGAGCTGGGCATGGTGGCACACACCTTTAATTCCAGCGAGACAGAGGCAGGCAGATCTCTGTGAGTTCAAGGCCAGCCTGATATACAGAGTGAGTTCCAGGAGAGCCAGGACTACACAGAAACTCTGTCTTGAAAAACAGAAACAAAAGGAGAAACATCTAAATTACTTACTGACTGATGGCTTTAATTATATATATATAATGAAATTAATAATGCAACCATGTCGGGGCTATTCAGCACATGATGTCAGCATTTTAGCATTTGCAGCAAGCATAGAAGCTCCTGTGGAAGGGCAGATCACAGCAAGGATGGTCTCTCCCTTCTAAGCTGGGCTCACAGCATAGAGCTCAGCTGCTGACAAATGAACAGCCATTTTGCTGCACTCTTCAAAATGTGACTGTAATTACGTACACCCCAGAAGGAGTTCATGTAGAAAACATAATATAGCTCTGGGGTACATCTCTGCATCTGCACATGATTATAGTGTCCCCATGTCACCTGCTATTCTTGCATTACATCACAATTTGAGATGCTTGCTATTGTGAAAATTTCAAAATTTAAAACTATTGGCCTCAAGTGAAATTGGAGTGTTTTGAAATCTGATAGGAAATTATATGGGCTTTAAGAATTCAGACATTTTTAAGGAAAAATTTAAATGACATGGCCTGTCCCCTTCCTGGATTCACACACTGAAACAAATAAGTCCAGTTCACAAAGGGAGTTCAAGTCATTGCTGTTTGTTGGTTCTCCCCTCCCCCCTAGGCAGGTCTTCTGCCCTGGTTGTCCTGGAACTCGCTCTGTAGACCAGGCTGCCATGCACTCAGAGATCCTTCTGCCTCTGCCTCCCAAGATGTGTGCCACCACTGCCTGACTCAAGTCATTGTTTTATTAAAAGAACTTTTATTAGGTTTTTTTCTGTTCATGTATTTGATTGTTTTTACCATTTTAGTATCTGCATCAAGAAAAGAAGCTGCTTCATGGAGACATAAAGTCTTCAAATGTTGTAATTAAAGGTGATTTTGAAACAATTAAAATCTGTGATGTAGGAGTCTCTCTGCCATTGGATGAAAATATGACTGGTAAGTAACATTGTTTTAAATTCATACAAATTTTGAACTCCTAATTTTCGCATTCTACAACATAATAAACCCACATGGTTTAAAATGAACTGTTTATGAAAAGTGTATAATACAGAGTGTCTTTGGTGTTTTGCTTCCTCTGAGTGCCCAGCTTCTTCTGTTGCTACATGGACTGTCAGACTCAGTCTTTCCAGTCTTGAGTCTGTGCCCACACTGGCTCTTACTAGTTTGGATTTTACTTGAATAACTTTGGGAAAGACAGACCCACCAGACTAGAACTTCCCCAGCTTCTGGGTATTCTGATCCAATGATGCTAATCAGGACTATTATAGCTTCCCTTTTCTCTTCAAATGTTTCTCTACTTGTACATCTATTGAAAGCCTCAAAGAAGAATTTTGAAGATAAGATTCTTTGATTAAACAAACTGCTTGTTTTTCTCCCCTATTGTTTGGAAGTGAGTTATAAGCATTTTGTTTTCAATTCTATCCTTGTATAAAATGGAGATTATAGTAATGAAATACTGAAGAATTATATTTTTAGGGTAACTTTAACACTGTTCAGTGAATTTGATTTATCTTAGAGAAATAGAATTTTTAAACATATAAAGGAAATTTTGCCTTAAGGAAGATGTCATCGAATACTGGACAAAGGAATTAAATTCGATTTCTAACAAAATATTTAGGAGAACCTTGAGTTTGGCAATGAAAATTTATGTAGTTATTGGAGGGTCATTGGGCTACTGTTGGCTGCTTCCTTGTCAATGGAAGGAATAAGATAGGAACAGAAGTCACTGGGAAATGTTAATAAAGCCAAAAGCTGGACTATGGAAAAATAAATTCTCTCAAGATTGAGAAAAAGAGAGAACATAGCCACCAATATGAGGCGTGAAGAGGGTCACAACTGCATGCTCTACACTTGTGTAAGGACTATTACAGACAGCCATATTTCACTAAATATGACAGCCTACATGAAAATGCAGTATCAGGAGAGATGGCTCAGGTTAAGAGCACTGGCTGCTCTTTCAAAGGTCCTGAGTTCAATTTCCAGCAACCACATGGTGTTCACAACCATCTATAATAAGACCTGGTGCCCTCTTCTGGTGTGCAGGCAGAACACTGTACATATAATAAATAAATAATGCAGTTATCAAAATTGATATAAGAACTAGAAAATCCAAAAACAACTGTTACGGGAGGTCCTCCCACTCCTCCAGCCTATCGCCGCTGAGATACCAGCCCATTGGGGCGTGGTCTCTCTCCCTTTAAAAAAGCGGCCACTTCCCTCTTCTATCTCTCTTCACTTCCTGCTCTGCAGGCGACTAGACTCCCTTCCTGGTTGCGAAGAGGGCTGTCGGTGATCTGTAAGTTTTTTCCCCTTTAAATAAATACCACCCTATTAATCATAATTCCAAACTGGTGTGGCATTGTTTGTGACTTACGCCTTCAGTTAGCACCCAACGTTTGGTTTTAGAACCTCTCCTTTCCCCGCTCGGCTGCCGGCCGCGAGTTTGGCTTGGCGGGAGCCCTCCCTTCCTCAGCCGCCGCCTCTGCCGCGTGGTTTGCTCTTTTCTGAGTCGTTTTTAAATCTCCCTTGCAAGCACAGCTCTTAAGTGGCACGAACCAGAGCATGCGGTTGCTGAAAGCTGCAACCCCTCAGGGTGACTCTGTCATGTGGAGGCATAAGCGGCTTCCAGGTTGCTCTTCTCTACCCCTGGATTCTGGGTTTCTGGTTCCGTCTCTGGAATTGATTTAATTACATTTACTTTGTTGAGCAACTTACATTTTCCAGTTTTTAACAAATACTAGGCGGACTCTGAAACAGGACTCTGTTTTAGTCGCGACTTGGCAACAGCGCCACCTGCTGGATAATAGGTAATATGGCAGTTTTCGTTTCCAACGCGAATTTTACTGTTCTGGTTACCAATACAATGGGTTATATCATGCAAGGTTTATATGACTATGGGGATAACTTAATTTACTGGTTACTAGGTTTCAGTATTCTTTTGAATATTCTATCATTTAGGAAGATCATGGCACTCCTAAGAACCATACAATCTTTACTAGAAACTCATGCAGGTCAGGAGATTCAGGATTCAAAAGAGACAATAATAAAGACAATAATAAAAAGACTTGAAATGATTGAAGAAATGATTGGAGCTGGTGAACAGAGTAATAAGGCACAAGGACAGGATACAGCCAACACCAGCTATTAGAACTGGCTTACCCAAGGTTTTAGCGGCATACCCTATACTTAATTCTGACAAAGTGTCAACTTCTAAAGGCTCAAAGGGAGTCAGAGAAGCTAGATGGACGCCAATAGCAATGAATGATCTAAAAGAAATTAAGCAAGCTATTGTTAATTTTGGCTTGCACAATGCATATGTAAAGGAAATGATAAGGACTTGGGCTTCTAATGCTAGAGCTACCCCCCATGATTTCCATCAGTTAGTGTCTGCAGTTTTAGATAATGGACCTTCCTTGATGTTTGGAATTTATTTCAGAGAAGAATCCAAACATATGGAACAGCAAGGAAGAGCAAAAGGTGTCGAGGTTTCCCAAGATCAAATTCTTGGTGCAGGAGAATATGCTGATCCACAGGTCCAAGCTCTTTATGATGATGAAGTACTGTGTCTATGTCACCAAGCAGCTTTAAATGCTTGGAATAGCATACAAGATCCAGCAAAAAGGGTTGAATCATATACTAGAATTAGGCAGGGACCGAGAGAACCCTTTATTGACTTTTTGCAAAGATTAGTTAAGGCTCTGGACATAGGGGTAACAGACCCAGAAGCTAGACGAATACTTCTTGAATCTCTAGCTTTTGAGAATGCAAACATAGAATGCAAAAAGATAATTGGGCCTTTAAAGTCTAGATCAGCACCTATGGATGAATGGATTCAGCATACGATGAATGTTGAGACATTTAGCTATAACGATGAACCTTGGGTAGGAGAAGCGATTTCCACAGCAATGAGGAGACATCAAACTGCCAAGTGTTTTAATTGTGGTAAATTAGGACATCTGAAAATGTATTGCAGGCACAGAATTTCTAGGAATATTATCTCCTCTAGGAATGACAAAAATAGGAGACCTAGGCCTTCAGGTATATGTAGGAGATGCGGTAAAGGCCGACATTGGTCCAATGAATGCAGATCAACAACAGACAGACGGGGCAATCCGATACCATCGGGAAACTCCTTGAGGGGCTTCTCGCAGGCCCCCAAGCCAACAGTGGCCCAGTCATTCCCAGTCACAGTGGAGAACGTGCCTCACCAAGAAAATTAAAAGCTCCAATTTCTGCTGTAAAAAGTAATACTGGTCTAAATGATGAAATACGTGTGGAGGATGAGTCAAAAAACCCAGTAGGACAGAGTAAATGTATATTTTGGCAGACTTCATTAATGATCAAAGACCAAAGCTAAGAGTCTGTATAAATGGCACTTTTATTGAAGGCTTATTAGACACAGGTGCGGATGTAAGTATCATTACCCCAGAATCTTGGCATCCGAATTGGCCTCTTCAAGAGGTAGATGTTCAGTTCCTGGGAATTGGAACCCTGTCTCGTGTAAAACAAAGCACAAGATGGGTTGAATGCATAGGGCCCGAAGGGCAAATAGGAAGACTAAGGCCATATATAGCCAATATTGCTATAAATTTATGGGGCCGTGACCTGCTACAGCAATGGAATACCCAGATTAACATTCCTGTAGTTCTAGGAACTCATAATTCTGGGAAGGATATGATGAGGTATTATGGAAAAAGGTCACCAGCCATTCAGGCTGTACAAGAACATACAGCAAATTCCAAACCTTTAGAGGTACCAACAGCCCTACCTTTAAAATGGCTAACTGAGAAGCCAATATGGATCAAACAGTGGCCTCTAGCTGAAGATAAACTACAGGCATTGGAACAGCTGGTGCAAGAACAACTAGATGCTCACCATATTGAAGAATCAACCAGCCCTTGGAATTCTCCTGTGTTTGTTGTAAAAAAGAAATCTGGTAAATGGAGAATGGTGACAGATCTAAGAGCTGTCAACAAAGTAATTCAACCTATGGGCCCACTACAATCTGGAATTCCTTTGCCTTCTCTGTTACCAAAAGGATGGCCTCTTATAGTTATTGATTTGAAAGAGTGTTTTTTCACTATACCGTTACAAGAAAAGGATAGAGAAAAATTTGCCTTCACAGTGCCTACCTATAATAATTCCCAGCCTAATAGGAGATATCAATGGACTGTCCTCCCACAGGGTATGCTCAATAGTCCTACATTGTGCCAATATTTTGTAAGTAAACCATTGGAAATAATTCGTAAACAATTCCCCACGTCCATAATTTATCATTACATGGATGACATCTTGTTATCTGATTCAAATAAAGATACTTTAGAAAGGATGTTTGAAGAAGTAAAGAAAGTCTTGCCTAGGTGGGGATTACAAATTGCCCCTGAAAAGATTCAAAGAGGAAATTCTATTAATTACCTAGGTTACAGAATAGGGTTAGAGAAAATTAAAACGCAAAAGGCACAAATTAGGAGAGACCGGTTAAAGACTCTTAATGACTTCCAAAGATTGTTAAGAGACATTTCCAGTCTACGACCAGCTGTTGGGATAACACCTGATCTAATAGTTCATTTAAACAAAACCTTAGATGGTGATAAAGATTTGAATAGTCCAAGAAAACTGACAGCTGAAGCAGAAAAGGAACTGACAATGATTGAGGAAAAATTACAGGAGGCACATGTGGATAGGGTGAACCCAAATCTTAGCTGCATCCTAGTCATATTGCCTTCCAGAATTTCTCCTACAGGGATTCTAATGCAGAGGGAAGATATTATTTTAGAGTGGATATTTATACCTAATAAACCAAGTAAAAAATTAAAAACTTATGTGGAAAAAGTCTCTGAATTAATTATAAAAGGTAAGCTGAGACTTCGTCAACTAGCAGGTATAGACCCAGCAGAAATTATAGTGCCTTTTACTACTGAGGAAATAAAAAAGTTATGGGAAGACAATGAACCGTGGTAAAGAGCTTGTGCTAATTTTTTGGGAGAAATTAATAGCAACTATCCCAAAAGTGGTAGACTTAACCTCATAAAAAGAACTTCTTGGATTCTTCCTAGAATTGTACGTGATGCTCCAATAACTGGAGGCCGTACGTTCTATACTGATGCAAATAAATCAAGGAAAGCAGGTTACAAGTCAGATGAATTGAGTAAGGTGGAACAAAGCCCTTATAATTCTGTCCAGAAGGCAGAATTATATGCCATTCTTATGGTGCTAAGGGATTTTAAAGAACCTCTTAATATAGTTACAGATTCACAATATGCAGAAAGAGTTATCTTGCATATTGAAACTGCTGAATTTATACCAGATGACACAGAGTTGACTTCATTGTTTATCCAGGTACAAGACATAATCAGGAACAGGCTTTTTCCGATGTACATAACACACATCCAGTCCCATACAGGTCTGCCTGGTCCTCTAGCCCAAGGAAACGCTGAGATTGATCAATTATTGATTGGAAGTGTGTTGCAGGCCTCAGAATTTCATAAGAAGCATCATGTCAATAGTAAAGGCCTAAAGAAAGAATTTTCCATTACTTGGCAACAAGCTAAGGACATTATAAAGAGATGTCCTCCTTGTTCTTTCTATAATCAAACACCGTTGCCTGCAGGGAGTAACCCAAAGGGTACTAAGAGAAATGAAATCTGGCAGATGGATGTGTTCCACTTTATGGAATTTGGTAAATTAAAATATGTACACCACACCATAGACACGTATTCAGGTTTTCAATGGGCTACTGCCCTGAGCTCAGAAAAGGCTGATTCAGTAATCACACATTTATTGGAAGTTATGGCCATCATGGGTATACCTGCACAAATAAAGACAGATAATGGTCCAGCATATGTATCTAAGAAAATGAAACGCTTTTTTGATTATTATAATATAAAACACATTACAGGTATACCAAATAATCCTACAGGTCAGGCAGTTATAGAAAGATCAAATCGTACTATAAAGGATATGCTGAACAAACAGAAAGGGACTGAAAATACCCCCAGAAATAGATTACATAATGCTTTATTAACCTTGAATTTTCTTAACGCTAATGAGAAAGGAACGACAGCAGCAGAAAGACATTGGATAATGGAAAAGTCTGCTGAACTAAATCAACCGATTTATTTCAAAGATGTGCTGACCTCTCAGTGGAAGCCAGGAGATGTGCTACGTTGGGGAAGGGGTTTTGCTCTTGTTTCCACAGGAGAAGAAAAACTGTGGATACCATCAACATTAATAAAGTTTCGATTTGAAGAGGAGAAACCTCTTGGAAAGGAGAAATGACAACTCATTCACAATGATGATATTCATACAGGTGGTAAGAAAAACATATAGAATGGGGGCAGGGTTCTGTTCTTATCTCCACAGGAAAACACTCATCTTTGAGAAATTCAAGGGACCCTGAATGTTTGGATACTGACAGATGGAAAAATACCTGCCCAATAGGAAATATCAAGAAAACTGAATGGGTTGTGTAAGTAAAATTAAACCATATTTCTAAATTTATAAAGCTGGTTTTGAAGTTGGACTCTGGCTCAGTCCCTCTCCAATTCCAAGCCTGTTAGTAAGAGAAAAACCCAGAGTTTCTGGAGTTTCTGTCTCATGTCAAGAGCCATGATGTGGGACAGAAAGAAATATGAGTTTAGAAAACATCTTTGCTTTTCTTCATATCTATCATACTTTTCATTGAATATATCTATCATGTCTTTCATTGAATATATATATATGTCTATATGATTAATGTTTAAGTTTTTCATAATGAACAATGAGTTTTTCCTGAAGTGACATTTGAAGTTTCCAGGAAGAAGATGGGGCCCCATAACAACAACTCCACCTGGTTGATATGACGTCATGATACTGATAGCGCTACTACAAGACCTGCTTTGGGTACCAGCTGCACAAGACAGTTCCAACTTGGTTAGCTGAAATGGTGCACATCTTATACAACATTTTGGCCAGACCTGCACAAAATACTCAGAGACTATTGGCAATTTTAAAAAACATTGATCTTGAAATTTAACCATCATTTTACTTTCACAGGATCTCCCAGAAAGAACGTTGCCCCCGTGACAGCTGGAAGTAATTCTAGAGGACGACGTCCCCTCTCCCAGTAAAGTTTGCCCTTGGGTTTAGGGACATCATTTAGGGGTTGATTATAATTAGTATACGATTGAGGGTTGGGGGAGGAATTTTATAAGCTCAGGGATCATTTTGAAAAAAAAAAAAGAGGGATGATGGGATAATAGATTTGTAATTGTGAGTTACTGTTTTTAGACAAATATATTGGTATAGATTCATGTATATTGATACAAAGTTAAATTATATTGACTATTGTATGCATGCATGTTTCTACCTCTGTTTAAAACATTTTTATGTATTGACATATATTGTATTGATATATATATATAGTATCTATTTACCATATTGCAGTGTACATTTCTACCTCTGATTAAGATACTTATATAATGTTTGTGTATTGATATATATTTACCTACTGCAATGTATATTTGTACATTGTTTATATTTGGAGGTCATTGTCCTCATTTGTTTCACAGTCATTTATTGTCTTAGTCTTTAAGTTAGATAGATATTGAGAATTATATAGACTAATAGTCATCTAAGTTTGTCATTTATAATTAGACTAATCAGGTTCTTTAGATATATAGAGATTATACTCAGTATAGATAGATAATCTTCAACTTCTTCAAAGAGCTGTAGAAAATGGCCTTTAATCTAACTCAGAGTTTTGCGGTAGTGAGACACAATTGCTCCTGGCAACACCACTCTATTCCCGAGAGAATGTTGAGCACCAAAGACACTCCACCTGGAGCCTTTCTTTTTGGCAGAACTGGCCTTGGGGCAAAGAAATGCCCATACCTCAACCACTGACAAAAATACAGAGCGTGCATCAATGGATAAAACAGGGCTGTCATATCCTGCCAAGACAGGGTAAGATAGTTTTGAAAAGTTGCTTACCTTTGAAAATGGTATGTCAGTTATGTTAGGCCTTAGCCAATGTTGGTTGCTTCAACGCTGCTAATGTGACTTTGGGTGATTGCCTAGGCAGCTAGTTGTCTCTGTGATTTGTTGCATGTTTTGGAAGTTGTTTTACTGAACTTCCTAATTACCCAGGTAACATTATTTCCCTTCTCAGATCTTCGATGGGGTTGAAGACTATATAAATGTAGTTACTTTCTCTCATGACTTGGCCAAGCTATTTATTATACAAGACCTAAGCTAGTTAGAATAGGATATTTGTACTTATTGTATATAATTTCATAGTAGGTTTAGAACTCTCTTATTTAAACAAAAGGGCGAAGTGTTACGGGAGATCCTCCCACTCCTCCAGCCTATCGCCGCTGAGATACCAGCCCATTGGGGCGTGGTCTCTCTCCCTTTAAAAAAGCGGCCACTTCCCTCTCCTATCTCTCTTCACTTCCTGCTCTGCAGGCGACTAGACTCCCTTCCTGGTTGCGAAGAGGGCTGACGGTGATCTGTAAGTTTTTTCCCCTTTAAATAATACCACCCTATTAATCATAATTCCAAACTGGTGTGGCATTGTTTGTGACTTACGCCTGCAAACAACTAGTAAAGAGACATTGATTTTAGAAGAAAAGTGGTACTAGAGTGAGTGGCTGTCCATTGTAGTCCTATATACTAGTAAATAACAAGAAAATGAAAAGTTAAAAATTCCACTTATAACTCCAAGATATTTAAAAATCTAAGAAAAAAATGAATAAATCCATTAAGTCTAAGCCTCTAGTCTGGAAGCTATAAAGCATCACTAAGGTGGAACCAGATAGAGAAGGATCTGTATATTTGAAGACTTGATACTATTGAGATGTTCTTTGCAGATTGGTCTAAGAGTCCATTATTTCCTAATTAATTTTTTGTTGTTGTTGTTTTCTTTTGGCTTTGCTCTTCTATTGAAGCTGACAAAATGACTCTAGACTGCAAGGGGCTGTTGAGTGGCAGATACTTTCAAGTCCAGTCTGAGCTCCTGACTTAGTCATGGGAGCACTGAAATGGCATTTGGCTTTCAGCCTCTGTGATATTAAGAGCTTACAAAAAACCCAAAACCTAGACATGAAGTAGTTCTGCTGTGTCACACCGCTTACAAGATGGTCTGGCTTGAGTCTGGAAGTTTGACATCTATCTATACTCTAAATTTCTGTTACTAAGAGAACTGTTGTTTTCTTACCAACTGATGAGATTTTAATACTTCCTATTCTGATAAGGGACAGATCCTTTATAGTGAGGCTGAATATAGTGATTAACTTATGAACTTCCTACATAAATGAGTTTTGCTTGTGTTGTTTTGTTGGTTGCTTGCCTTTCTCCATGATCTTTAACAGCTGTTCTTATGACTATTCTACTTATATTTTTTTGTGTGTGTGTTTTAGTGACTGATCCTGAGGCCTATTATATCGGTACTGAACCATGGAAACCCAAAGAAGCGCTGGAGGAAAATGGCATTATTACTGACAAAGCAGATGTGTTTGCTTTTGGCCTTACTCTGTGGGAAATGATGACTTTATGTATTCCACACATCAATCTTCCAGATGATGATGATGATGATGAAGGTATAGATACAAATAGGTTTTAACATAAATCTGAATTTCTTTCTGGTAATTAGTACATAAAATTCTCTTTTCATTAAGTTAAAATTCAAATAGCAAGTTGTTTTAAGATTATAGTAGTACTGTGATTCATTTGGCTATATTTAATCTTATACAAATGAAATACAGATTGAGAATAGGGGTATTATGTATGTAACCTCTCCACTCATGGGTTCTCATTTTTCTTTAATAAACTACATTTGCTGGATGGGTAGGTGGGTTATCTAGTTGAAACAAGTTTCCTTAACGTCTTGGTGAAGAGAAAATAGCGACTATCTGTGGCAGGAATAGTTGAACAGACAACCTGTGGTCTGGGTAACCCTGCCTTGTTGCAGGACGGAAGCTGTTGAGCTGTTCCATGACCCACACGATTTTGCTTGTTTCCATTTCTAACTCCTCGTGCAGATACAACCTTTGATGAGAGTGATTTCGATGATGAAGCGTACTATGCTGCTCTGGGGACCAGGCCATCCATCAACATGGAGGAGCTGGATGAATCCTACCAGAAAGTCATTGAACTCTTCTCTGTGTGCACTAATGAGGATCCTAAAGATCGTCCTTCTGCTGCACACATCGTTGATGCCTTGGAACTAGATGTCTAGTGATGCTGTTTGTGGTCCAAGCATGAAGCATAGCTTGTATGTGAACTATTGACCCAGATGCATTTATTTAGTTACTGCAGTGGCTAGACACTCCAGGTGGCTTATTTTAGGACCACTGTACTGTTAATATTTGCATAACTTTCTGACATTATTTCATATAAGCATTTATTATACTGGATAGATAGTCTGTGAAGTTTAAAACTAACTCTCCAGGTACTTAGATGCTGCCCCTGATTTAAAACACTAGTCACCCTGTCTGAGGTGACTTTAGAATCAAGGGACCATTGCTTTACTAAAGATCTTTTTAGGTGTTCATTAGTGGGTCATGAGAAATTTACCTTATACAGTACAAAGTGAATCTGCATCTGTTCAGTGTCCAGCTATATAGCTGGCCTGTTGGTTCATGTGCTTATTAAATGTTCCCTGGAGCTTAAGAACATGGTTCAGAAGAGTAGCTCCTAGGGTTTTCAGACCCTGGTTACAGATGTTTTGTATCTCTTCACATCTTAGTGTCTAACTCGTTGAATATATTTTTATTCAATGTATTTTGTTTTTATTGACTGTATCTTAAGTCTTTCAAAGTTGTGATGCAAGAATTAATAAAGGACAGTTTTGATACCAGCCACCTCAGCATTATCTTCTATTCTTGTGTTGCCACTGAACTTGGGTTCAGTTTTTATTGAAACCTTGTTTTCTTAAGTATAAAGTGAGATTGAATTGGATCAATTGAGTCACAGCTCTTTGGAATTGCCAGAATTAACTGACTTGGTAAAACCAGGTGATGTACTGAGACGTAGCTACAGATAGAATCCTAGGTAATTTAGCAACAGATCACTAATTAGCACATTGTCCATCAAAACAGTGTGAAAGTGACAGCAATTTGAAAGTTTACTTATGGAAAAAAGATTCAGTAGTCTTACCTACCCTTTCTCTGATGTATCATTTTTAGTAGGTTTGCTCAAATGACCTGCTTACAGATATAAAGCATGAATTGGCTAACACATAAACTGGTACCTTGAGTTTTATTCCCAGTTCCTATGGATACCCCATTTTCCATATATCATTTTACATCACTCTGCTTCTCACAATAAACCAGTACTGGCATGCAGTCCAACTCCACACTTTATTTGGATTTATTGCTCAATGACTACCTTTTCTGTTTCAAGATCCCTTTCAAATGCCACTCAGGAATGTTCCAACCCCTTGCTTGACTACTAAATTTCAGGGTGTGGTGGTTTAGGAATTCTGTACAACAGACCTGATGTTTATTTCACACGGGATTATAGGACTTGAGAAATACTCTTCTCACACAACAAACCATCAAACATCAACATGGTGATGCTGTCGGCTGATAACTAGCTGTCACTATTGTTGGCAGGTTATCTGCTAGCTGATACAGTATTCATTTATGTGCAGTCTGCCTTGGCACATGTGAATTTAATTTTTCAGTATGGACTCATTTATTACACTACTTGATGTGGTTATTCAGATCAGCTGGTCACAGTATACACTGTGGGCTCTGAGTGAGCGCCAGTATTCTTTTGACATGCACCATAAGATTTAGCTTCCCTTTTTAAATTTTGATATTTAGATCTAGGCTCATTCTGTATAATCTCTGACCCAGCAACTCCAGATTTTCTTTTTTTTTTTGAGAAAGGTATTAGAAACAAGATCTAAATGCTCCATGTACTCATTGCTGTTATTAAATACCGAAACATCCTGTGTGAAACCAAACTGTAAACAAAGCAACAGTATCGATAGCAAACCAATGTACATTTGAAACCTAAGACATTAAGTGAATTAAGCTGCAAAACTCATCTGTATTATGTATCTAAACCCCAAAGTAGGATGATAGGGAAACTATGTCTTTCAGCATACTAGTTCTCTAATATCTCTATAGTTTTGTTTTTTGTTTTCGAAAGATATTCATGCTAAAAAATAACAGAGTATTAGCAGGATGTTATGAATTCTGGGCAAGTGAGATTGCTCAGTAGATGTGCTTGTACAACCCTGGCCTCCTGACTTGCATCCTTAGAACCCATGGTAGAAAAGAACTGACTGCCAAGAGTAGTTAGTTCTCTGGCCTCCAAATGGCACCTTGAAATGCACACACAAACACACCAATAATGATAACCATAAAACAATTATAATTGGTTTCTCATAAATCAATGAACAATGAAATAATATTAATAAAATTTAAAATAAAACATTTAAAGACATTTTGTGCAGAAAGTAGCATTAAATGTTTGCATAATTACACACAATTTTTAACGCTTCCATATTGGTCTTGGTAGTACAGGCAAATTAGATTAAAGATGAACAGATCTTACAATGAACAATAAAACCTAAATACAAAAACTGATGTCTCATGCCAGATATCAGTTAAATGACCTTTAAGAATTAAAACAATCTGAGTAATTTTTTGCTTTAAAAAATGAGTATACAAATTATACTAGAAATCTGAATGCACTTATAAGTGTACAGAGTATTCCATAAGTCATTATGTTCTTGGGTCCACTAGTTTGGTTCATGACTTCAATTACCTGGCAGCATTTTCATGCAATAAAAACATCAGATGATAACAGTACCAATACAGTCTCACATAATTTTATGGTAAGTGTGCTTTTGATTAATTTTAAGGAATTAAAATACTGTTATGGAACTATTTTATATAAATGGATATGAAATAATGATTTCTGCCATCTTATTACAAACAGGAAATTCAAAATACTTTCTAAGTATTTCAACTTAGCTGCTACGGTATGTTTACAAAATGAGAATGCTGCATAAGGAATTCGGAAATTATCTCACTGTCTGTGTTTAGATTTGCCTCTACTGATTGAACACGAGACAACCATGATCTGAAAAGTGTGTTCATGTGATTCTTTATAAAGTGGTCCAGGTTCTACAGAAGCCACCTTGCTATGAAGTTATCAATATTAAGAACTCAATGTATCCAAAGATCTTTTTTTTTTCTTTGAATCCCAAACAATTCAACAAATTCTAACATACAAGAAATAAAACTGTATGCACATGTGTACAAGTCTTACAATTGTCATTCTGATACTAGTTATTTAGCTGAACTTCACACAGTACCAGTTTTGCGGTTGCAAATGACTTTAGCTATGAAAATTATATACAAGGAAATTAGGGGTATTGCAGTACTTAGTAGCAAATAATTTGCCATCTGGTGTTGGGTCAGAAAATGCAATTTCATTAATGCTCAGAAAACAGCCAAACATGAAGCAATTCCTACAAAATAAAAAAAGAGAAAACATTCATCAACTAAAATTTTAGATTTAAATTAAACACATGCATTAAACAATAAGTAATTGATTTAAAAAGTACTACTATTTTTTGGTGCCAGAATGCCTGGCATTTAGAGATGGATATGCCATGGCATCATCTCAGATGAGAAACTCGAAGGTCCACAGAGTAGAAAGAAAAAACCAGTTTCCTTAAGTTATCTTCTGACTTCTACATGTGTGCCATGGCATGCACACACCACACACAAAATAAATAACCACACCACCACCATCACAGAAAAATAAAAACTATTTTTCTCAAACCAAATACAGATGCTTGAGAAGGCTGAAAACAAATCTAAAGTTTCCTTGCTCTTGTTCAACTATAAATGTTAAAAGTACTGAAAATGAAGTAGTTTAAAGGGTTTCAGAGTACAAATTCCTCCAAGCTGTCCTCTATATACATGCCATGGCACATATGTTACCCACCCTCACTCCCAACAAAATAAGTAAATAAATGTTAAAAGCCAAAAAAAAAAAAAAAAAAAAAAAAAAAAACCAAAACAACCCCAAAATCCTAAAGGGGATTTTGTAAAATAAATAGCTATACTCCTCTGATAGCCAGTTTTGTCACTTTCATTGAATGAACACATAGATGATCTGGTAAAGCACACCTCCAGATGAATCTACATGCATCTACAAGTAATTAGCTCTCATGAGGCTCTGATCTCAGATTTATCCTTGACGGTTTCATGCAATGGCACTCCTAGGAGGTGGTGCCTGGTTAGAGGAAAGATGTCGCTCAGGCATGTTCTTAGGACCTCTGTCTTACACCTGCTTCTTCCTGTATTTCCCTTTTTCTGCTTCTCGGACACCATGAGCTAAGTTGTTGAGCTCATTAGTGCATTCCCTGTCACGATGGACTGACACTTCTGAAACCAGGAGTCAAAGTAAATCATCCCACTTAAGCCATGTTAAGCACCCTGTCAAAGCTACAAAAAGGTAAAACACTTCAAATTTTTCAATGTGGTAAAAAACAAAGAAGGGCTACGGGATATCCCAGGTTATTGGAGATAAGTCTAAACAAACCTGAACACAGTGTCAAACACTTGGCAATTCCTGACAGGCTGTGGCAGAAACATCATTAGCTCATCTTTTTAGCTCTAGGATAGCCTGAGCTACACAGGAAGTTTTATGTCAAACAGAATATGAAAAAAATAAACATCCAAAGCAGTGGTTTTCTACCTTCCCAAATCTGCAATCCTTTAATACAGTTCCTCATGTTGTGGTGACCCCAACCATAAAATTATCTTTGTTGCTACTTCATAGCTATAAGACCATGAAAAATATGTATTTTTTCAATGATCGACCCATAGGTTGAGAACCACTGATCTCACACTATACGGTGTGTCCCTGCATGGGGCAGGAGAGAACCCTAGTAAAAGGCATTTGAGATTAAGTCATGAAAATAAAACCTGGATTATCAATTAAATAAAGATATTGATACTGTTTCTTGAACTTGACCATTCTGCGGTTAAGAATATAAATATTCTTGTTGTTAAGAAAATTAAACTGGGGGCTGAAGAGATGGTTCAGTGGTTGGGAATACATATAAACTTGTAGAAATTTGAAAAGAGAATGGCCCCATAGACTCATATACTTATTTGAATGCTTGCTTCCTAGTTGGTAGAACTGTTTAGGAAGGATTAGGAGGTATGTCACTGGGGATGGGCTTTGATATTTCTAAAGCCCACACCATTCCCAGTAGCTTTCTGTGGATGAGATGTGAGCTCCCACCTATGCTCTAGGAGCATGCCTTCCTGGTGCCTACTGATGGTCATGAACTCTAACCCTCTGGAACTGTGAGCCCCCAAATTAAATACTTTCTTTTATAATTGCCTTGGTCAAACTTTTTGTCACAGTAACGGACAAGTGACTAAAACAGTACTGCTCTTGCAGAGGACCTGAATTTGGCTCACAACCACCTGTAACTCTAGCTCCAGGGGATCTGATATCTTTTTCTGGCTTCCAGAGACAATGCACTTACGTGGCTTATACATATATGCAAACACTGCCATTAAAAAAATCTTAAAAACAAAAGACCAAATGAGGTGCATGTTTGTAATTCTAGCACCTGAAGTGGAAGAATCAATAGTTGAAGGTCAGACAGGTCTAACAATGAGTCCCTATCTCAACCATAAAACCCATCTGAAAAAGAAAATGCAAGAAAGAAAGGAAAAAGCATTACATTTAAGTTTGGCATGGAATACATATTGAGTTATTCCCTTCTTATCAACATTTGACTTAGTCTTTGACGGTATTTATACAGTAATGTTTTAATGAAATTCTTTTGTTTGGCTCATGAGCCAAGGGAGGTTCT